GAAGCGTTGGCTCTATATTAAAGAGTGTTATGCGATGTATATGAAGTGTAACTCTATGCTAAACAGTGTTGTTCGACGTCAAAGGAGTGTTGTGAGATGTATATGAAGTGTTTCTCTATGCTAAATAAGTGTTGTTCGATGTATATGAAGTGTTGTTTTGTATTAAAGGTTTTTGTGTTGTTTTGTGTTATACGGTAACCCCGTGAACCATTTGTGAATAATCAGCTTTGTATTAAAACAACGAACACCGTGTAAGCAGATTACCAATTTTCATCCTTTTGAGTATTAGAGTATTTAAAGCAATGTTAAGTATAATTCACTTGAACATTTTGTAACAGGAAACTGTTGAAAGCCTAAATGCATCGAAAGTTATATCTTTTTTAAATAAAAACTTTGAAATTCTTCGTTATACATCATGTTCGAATCCGAACATGCACCCTCTTTCAGTTGTAGAGGCGTTATAATGTGACAGTCAATCTGACTTTTCTTTGGTAAAAGAATAGCCCGAGAATTGATGTCGTGGTGTTGAATAGCTACCTTTCCTCTAGTCTATCATTTCGCAGATAGCTCTCGAGTAGTTTTGTGCGAAATTCAACAAATCAAACCAATCGCTGTGGAAGTAAATGGTTGAGTATTCGGGTATATAATACCTTATAGAAGGTGAAGTATTCCCACTCTAAACATGCAGCAGTGTTCTTACTGTTTACACCAGTGGTTCTTAAATGGCTCGACAAGGGTCTCCAGTATCTGTCCGAACTTTTGTTTTGTAGTTCAACAGTGGCTGCGCCAACGAGCTCTATTTGAAGGCATAGGTCGCTGAGCTAGCCTCGCCACTAGAATTTGGGTCGCAGCCAACAAAAAAAAAAAAAAAAAAGGGTTAAAGAACCACTAGTTTAGACATTCAACAATTCATTGAATCCAAAGTATGGTCAAATTATTGAAAAACGGATAAAACAAAACAACTAAAGTCCAGTCAGTTAAGTTTTAGAATGAGTTTGACGTAAACAAAAGTTGAGAGTAGAATGTATATAACTCAGAGGAACAAATCCTGCAGTTATTATTATTATTATATTTAACAGTAGGAAAATACAAATGTAACTTACATTTTGCCCAACTTTGATACAATAGAGGATTATCCTTTTCTCACACTTTCTCTAAAAAATCTTGCTCTTAAAGTGGTTTTGAAGTTTTCGGGCTACAAAGAGTAGTATTTATTTCAGACATTTTTGCTTATTTCAGCACAAGTAAGTTTATTACAAGGTTATGTTTTGTCTGTTTTGCAAGAAATATTCATTGTCCAGAAGGTCAGAAATGTTCTAGCTACTTATTGTAAAGATTTTTTTCTTTAGAATTCAGTGATTCCTTTATCATTTTATTTAGTTTCTTTTGGAACAGGCCGGGCATGGTCTAATGTCTAATGCTGTCGAAGTGTGAATCCGTGGATTTAAGGCTCGCAACTCGTTGCCACAAAAACGCGATCCGCACTTTGGGACTGTGGACACGCTATTAAGAGTGACTGTCAAATCTCTGTATTCGATCAGGGCACTCGACTCATAATCTGAAGGTCGCGATGTAATTTTTCTGTTTTTTTAATTGAAATATAAAACACAGGAAACCAATGACCAATAATAAACCAAGTAAGCGTAAACAGGCGCTCAGTGAATGTGTCTTAGCTATTTATCACAATTCGTTTAAGATTCCTGCAAATCTGCAGAAGAAAAGTGAACTATGCGAAAAAAGTTCGAGTTTTTGAGTCTTTTGAAATGTACTTTGCAAAAGGAAATTATTAGAAAAATGTACGCATAAAGGATTCTCATAAGATTATCACCTTTTTTTTCACACATAAGATGTTTTTGATTAGATAATTCATGACCATTTACTTGGGAGCGTTCGACTTTGACTCTTTCGAACTACTAACTTTACTTAAATAATCATGGATGTTTGGAAAGCCATTTCTGGTTTGGAAATATTTTGATGTTTTCAAACACCTCATAAAAATATACGTAAGTACTAGTAACTTTGAAGGCACAATGAATAAAAAGTTTAATCAAATTTGTCTTAAATATATCTGCAGTAAAACTATTGAAATATAAATGAGTGATTTTCTCTATTACAATCTACAATCATACTTACCAATGTTATTGTGTATCAGTGTATCTCAAAACAAAACAAAAACCAGCTTATATATTTGTTGGTATTTTATGATATTATGTTGATTATTAAGATACTTCAAAGCTGATCAAAGTTTTATGGATTATTAAAGATAACAAAAGTATCATCAATATACCTTCGCTACTCCAAGGAGTGAGTAACATTCCACAGCCCGGCATGGCCAGGTGGTTAGAGCCAGCTCGACTCGCAATCTGAGGGACGCGGGTTCGAATCCCCGTCACACCAAACATGCGCGCCTTTTCAGCCGTGGGTGAGTTATAAAGTGACGATCAGTCCCACTATTCGTTGGTAAGGAGTCGGCGGTGGATGGTGACGACTAGCTGCCTTCCCTCTAGTCTTACACTACTGAATTAGGGACGGCTAGCGGTAGCTTTGCGCGTAATTCAAACCATATCTTTGAGCAATTGTTTTTCATAGTAGCAAAGTAATAAGTAATAAGCTGGCGAGTGGTGGTTACTAGCCTCGATCTTATTGCTACTCCATCAGTTTGGTTATAAATCATGTTACTAAACAAGAAATGAGATTTCTTGGCTTCAAATCTCAAGAGTTTCATAATTATAAAACTGCCACATTATCATCGTACAATATCTGATGTTAGGTATATTAACGTACAGAGATTCCTCGTCAACACTATCACAATAAACATCCCTAACGGATGCATTTTATTAGACAAACAAAAATAACTTTAATATTATATCTATTACAAGTGAACTGGTCA